ACACAGGTTGCCCTCTCAGAGGCACCAATGTGGGGCATGCCACGGACAGCCACCCAAGGAGGTTTGTAGGGTGGGCTTTAGAGGCTTCTAAGACCAGGTCATGAGCCAGGGCAAGGGAGCCACTGTTACTTCTTCATGCACATGGCAAACCCTTGCTGAGCTATGAAAGCCTTGATGAGGGTGAATTCTAACCAGCAGCTCTGCCCCTCCCTGAGGATGAAGCTTTAGGCAGTTGCCTTCCCCTTCTCAGCCTCAGTTTACTCATCTATGAAACAGGGTTGTTTGAAGATCATTAAACATAACATTGATTAGTGCTTTCTGTGTGCCTGGAGCTGTGCTAAGTGCTTTCCATGTGGTAACAACCACTCTAAGAGGGAGGCCCACTTATGACCCCCACTTCATAGCCCAGAAAACTGAGGCTCAGAGAGGTGAAGCCACTAGTTGGGGTCACACAGCCAGAAAGTGACAGGGCGGAGTGCTAGACCCAGAGCCCCTCACTCTTAGCCATGCTCTATCAGCCTGGAAACAAGGCCAAGCATGTAGGTACTTCTTATACAAGAGCTACCAGAGTCACCCATTCCGAGCCACCACACACAGTTCAAACCAAGCACGCAGCCCTGACCAGCTCATCGGGCTTGAGGCTCATCCGTCCAGCTGATAACGACAGGGATGGAGTGGATTAACCAATCCCTACTTTCTGCCGTGGTCAAGCTCAGAGAGGCAAAGAGCCCCAGAATGGGAATCAGGACCCAGGGGCAGGCCCCGACATCTAACGTGGGATCCTAAAATAAGCTGGACCGACGAGCCAGCCTGATCTCAGAAGACCCATTTCAGTGACTCTCATGACGGGAAAACCCTCTGGGTCCAGCGCAAAACCACGTTCCCACGACTCAGCGCTTGCTGTGCCCCTGCTGTGTGCAAGGTGTGTGCTCGATCCTCCACACAGCCCATCGGGCGGGAAAACCCTCTGGGTCCAGCGCAAAACCACGTTCCCACGACTCAGCGCTTGCTGTGCCCCGGCTGTGTGCAAGGTGTGTGCTCGATCCTCCACACAGCCCATCGGGCTCAATCCTCACGACACACCCCTCCCTGGGATCAGACCCTGAGGATGTTTGTTGGAGCACAGGCCTCGCTGGAGAGGCCCTCCTGGGAATTTGCAAGCAGCCTGGGGCTAGACATGTGGAGTTGTGGGAGCAGGGAAATAGATCCGGACTCCGACTGCCCCTGGGTCCCTTTCCTCTCTACCCCACCTCATGCGTCTCACTTGTGTTCCCTCCGAGATGGCTACGAGTTCTTAGAGATTCTCAAGTCTGTGGCCCAAGATAACACTGAAAACCCTGATCTTAGTATCATCTGGATTGACCCTGATGGTTTCCCCCTGGTAAGAGGCACAGCTCAGGCACTGCTGTCCTAAGGTGGGCCTCTGACTGTGGCACCCTGCGCCTGACTAACATTTATTGAGCACTTATTGCATACCAGGCATTCTTCTAAGCATGTTATGTGTATCAAATCCTTACGACAACCCAACAAGGTAGGAAGTCCTATCACCCCTACATGAGAGTTTAGAAAACGGAGGCACACAGAGAGGCAGTTTACTCAAAGCTGTGCAGATAAACTCCAAGAACGATTAAGTGGTTAAGCTGTTGGGAGTCGGAGGGCTTCTGGTTCAAATCCCTGCCTACCTGTCCTTGTATTCACTGAGGACCTTGGGCTAGGGACGTCCCCTCTCTGAGCTTGAGTCTCCTCCTCTGCCAAATGGGGGGATCCATCAAACCTGCCTCCTCCAACCCCTCTGGCTCCTATTCCTCAGCCACTTTCCTGAATGCTGGGGCTGAGATCTCCATCACCCCGGAGCCTGCCCAGCCAGCCGAGGGGGACAACGTCACGCTGGTCGTCCATGGGCTTTCGGGGGAACTGCTTGCCTACAACTGGTATGCGGGGCCCACCCTCAGCCTGACGTACCTGATGGCCAGCTACATCGTGAGCACGGGCGACGAGACCCCGGGCCCCACCCACACAGGACGGGAGGCCGTGCGTCCTGACGGCAGCCTGGACATCCAGGGCGTCCTGCCTGGGCACTCAGGCACCTACATCTTGCAGACCCTCAATAGGCAGTTTCAGACTGAGGTGGGCTACGGATACCTGCAGGTCTATGGTGAGGCACCCCCCCACACCCCCTTGTGCCCTAGCCAGGCCTTCCCACCTCCCTCTCTATCCCACATTTTTTTTAAAAATCTCTAAAACATTTTTAAACCATCATTTAATAAAGACCTAAAACAACATCAAAATGCTCACCTCCCTCAGGATGGCTTCCAGGATTGGATTTGCCTCCTAAACCCATTCCTTGTCCCTCCAGCTGAGGGTACAAGAGCAGCGCCACAATACAGATATGCCCCTTGCTTGGGGAAGGGAAAGTCTTTGGAGCAGGTGGTGCCCGGTCCCCTCCCCCTCTGTCTTTCGCCCCCACAGAGATCCTGGCCCAGCCCGTGGTCATGGCCAACAACACAGAGCTGGTGGAGCGTCGAGACACCTTGCGCCTGATGTGCAGCAGCCCCAGCCCTGCCGAGGTCCGCTGGTTCTTCAACGGCGAGGCCCTGCCCATCGCCATCCGCCTCGGCCTGTCCCCCGATGGCCGGGTGCTGACTCGGCATGGCGTCCGCAGGGAGGAGGCTGGATCCTATCAGTGTGAGGTGTGGAACCCAATCAGTGTCAGCCGCAGCAAGCCCACCAACCTGACAGTGTACTGTGAGTCCTTCTGGCCCCACCAGAGATACTGGTCTCCAAACCTCATGGATGGGGAAACTGAGGCCAAGAGAGGGGGCCCAAGGGCACACAGGAAGTCAGCACGCAAGCCGGAGTTAGGAACCAGAGGTCCCTCTGAAAATGCACTTGACCCATCTCCTAAAGGACTCCTAAAGACCACCTTTGATACTGAATAATCCTTCAGCTAGAAGCAATACCCGTGGAGCAAGGACACAGGACTGGTTGGTTTTGAAAGGGAGTTGGGGAAGGAGTAGCAGAATGGGAGGGGACATAAAATCTAAAACATAACCAAAGCACGCAGTCATCCCCAGGGGCAGCAGATGCGCAGTGTGGAAGCCCAGGAAAGTAACTCACGGAGGTCCAGCAGGGCCGGATGAAGTAGAAAAACTTAGAGCCTAGAGTCCTAGAATCTGATAACCAGAGAATTCTGGATTTCAGAAGCACTGAATTCTGACTCTGAGAATCCTAGAAACTCTAGAAGCAGAGATCCGTAGTATCTTAAAATCTAATTCTAAAGTCTTAGAGTCTAGAATCTTAGCAACATACATTTCTAGAAACTTGAAATCCCAGACGTAGAAGCATCTACTCTTGAAGACCTAGATTCTAGACTCCTAGAATAGCTTGTCAGAAAAAAATCATTTGGAATTTTTTTTTGATGCATCCATAGATTTCAAAAATACCTTGAAATGTTGTCTGGCCCAACACACTCTTTTTACAGAAGAGAGAGCTGACATCCCCTGCGAGGGAAAGTGATTCTCAAGATCCTAGAGCAAGTTAGAGGTCAAGACGGGGTGCGAAAAGGCCAGAGCTCTTTCTAGACCTAGATTCTAGACTCCTAGAATAGCTTGTCAGAAAAAAATCATTTGGAATTTTTTTTTAATGCATCCATAGATTTCAAAAATACCTTGAAATGTTGTCTGGCCCAACACACTCTTTTTACAGAAGAGAGCTGACATCCCCCGAGGGGGAAAGTGATTCTCAAGATCCTAGAGCACATTAGAGGTCAAGACGGGTGCGAAAAGGCCAGAGCTCTTTCCCCCTCCACTAGGGCCAGATATTCCCGGGGACCCAGCCTGGTGGAGAGAAAGCCAGGGGTGCCCACCTCTCCCACCCCTCCCTCTTCTGCCCATGTCTCCCTGCCGCCCCCACAGTTGGCCCAGAGCGCGTGGCCATCCTCCAGGATTCCATCACCCGCACAGGCTGCACCATCAAAGTGGATTTCAACACATCCCTCACCCTGTGGTGTGTGTCCCGGTCCTGCCCGGAGCCCGAGTACGTGTGGGCCTTCAACGGGAGGGCCCTAAACAATGGCCAAGACCATCTCAACATCACTAGCATGACAGCAGCCCAGGAGGGCACATACACATGCATTGCCAAGAACACCAAGACCCTGTTGTCCGGATCTGCCTCAGTGGTGGTCAAGCTCTCTGGTGAGTCACCCCCAGCCTGATCACCAGACTCTCCCCATGGTGGCCCAGTCAGACTGTGAAGGTTAGGCTGCCATTTGCCCCACCGATGACCGGAAAGTGGCAGACTCCCAATCCATTCATTGGCCAAGTGACCAAGTGGCATATCAAGTCCAAAAGGAGAAACCCTATGCCCTGTCACCTGAAAAACAAATGGCAAATCAGACTCTCTTCCTTGAGGGGTGACAAAGTGAGAAGTGGGTCACATGTCCTACACTGTGAGTTGGCAGAATGGGAAGCCATTCAGACGTCCCTTCCTATGGGCGCCCCTGCTCTGGATTCAGTCACCAGCTACTTAGTGCCCTTGACCCACTCCCTGCCACACAGACAGCTGAACTTCAGACAGCCAACTAGATTACCCGATCACCTGGCCCAGATGGCAGGACACACACACACAACTGGAAAATCACAGCCATTTGTTGGTAAATGGAAAAACACAGCCAGAGAGTCATTGTCTTCTTGCCTCTGTCCTAAAATGACCCGGGGGCTGGGAGTAGCACAGACAGCTGGTGTTTTCAGAGCCATTGGGATCCTGGATATTTTCTCATCCTCTGGGAATGGGGGCTTTGAAATTAGGGCCTCTTTAATTACACCTCGGTTCCTTCCCAAGTGGCCATTGTCCCTTGGGGACAGTGGGAACAGTCCTTTCCTTCCTCCCTACCTCGCACTAACAGGCTGGGTCTCATCCAAAGGGTGGATACTGTTTCACCCAAAGCAGAAATGGCATCCCCAGAGGTAAGTGTACCTTGGCAGCTGGTCTTGGCAGGAGACAGAGGGGTGGACCAGATGCCCTCAGGTGCTCCCCTGAGCCCGGCCTATGCAGACCAACATGGGGGGTATCCAGGGTGTGCAGGTATGTGCAGGGAGTGGATATAATGCCCCCAAGGGCCTCCTGAACTGTTAGCAGCCCTGTGGCAGGTGCTGGGAGAGAGACAGAGGAAAGGGAGACACCAGCCTTCCCCGACCTTGGGGAGACTCTCATCTGATGGAGGAGACCTGGTCCCTGCCCTTGGAGAGATGGTCCTGGAACAGGGAAGCATGGCCCCCTCATTAAAGGAGCTGTGCCTGCCAAACAAAAGAGGCAACGCCTCATCCTCCATGGGCTTGCCAGCAGTGATGGGGGAGACATGACAGCCTCCCTCAGCGAGCTTCCAGTCAGAGAGAAAGACACAGTCCACACTTGGTGAGAATTTCCAATCTAGTGGGGACATGTGGTCTTGAGGAGACGTGACCCTGTTTTTTGAGAATTCCTAGTCTGATGGGGAAACACAGTTCCCGCCTTTGGGATACTCCCAATCTGATGGGGGAGTACAGGACCCCACTTTCTAGGAATTTCTAGTCTGATGGGATAGACATTCTCCCCCAACTTCTGGGGTCCCAACCTGAGTGGAAAGACCCAGCCCAACTGTATGTAATTTCTCAATCTGATGGAGGAGACAGGGCCCCCACCTTGTAGGAAATATCCAATCTGATGGAGGAGACATGGCCTCCCAGTTTCTAGAATCTCTCAATCTGGTGGGGGAGCTACAGCCCCCACATTCTGGGGTCTGACAGTCTCACAGAAAAGACACAACCTGGGGGACACAACTCCCAACCATCTGATGGAGAAGACACAGCCCTTATGTTCTGGAATTTCCAATCTGATGGAGGAGACATGACCTGATCCTCTAGGATCTTCTAGTTTGATAAGAGAGACGTCCCCCGAAGGCTGGAATTTTCTAGTCTGATGGGGGAGACGCAGAGCCTTGACAGGCACTGTTGGGACAGAATGCACATCTACAACCACATGTCAGCTCCTTCCTCTGTCTCCTTCCTAGCACCCCACATGGAAAGTGCCAGCCAGCTGGGGAGGCACAGATGAGCTGGTTGGGGGTGGGAAGGGGATGCCATGCCCAACGCACGCCCAGCTGACCCAGCCCCTCACTCTCTCTCCAGCGGCAGCAGTCGCCACGATGATTGTGCCTGTGCCAACCAAGCCGATGGAAGGCCAGGACGTGACACTGACCGTACAGGGCTACCCCAAGGATCTGCTGGTCTATGCCTGGTACCGTGGGCCTGCCTCCGAACCCAGCCGGCTGCTCAGCCAACTGCCGTCCGGGAACTGGATCGCAGGCCCCGCGCACACAGGCCGGGAGGTGG